CAAGCATCTTTTGCGTTCTTGTCTGAAAACATACATTACATACTATGTTGCTCTATTTTTAATGATTCTATTGTACATTTAATTTCACAAAATAAGTGTTCAAAAATATCAGATTTTTTTATGTCTTTTTTTTCCTCATTTCTAATACATTTTAAGGCGATGCTGGAACGATGGTCAAACTTCACGGCGCCGCTGTTTTGCCAACGATTTGTGCATATGTATGTGTGCGATATTGATGTAGTGTGATGTAGTAAATGTTTGCCGGTTACCGTCTAATGCGTTGTCTGTCCTTCCAACATCGCCTTGATACAGGTAATTTTAAAATGTTAATCTAATGAAGTTTTTATTTAACAGTAAGTGGATTAACATGGGCTAAAGTAAGAGGCATGTTCGACCATTCTGGAAATCCAATTATGGAGGCTAAGTTATCTGACGCGGTACAGATTATCGGATGGAAGGGTTTGCCCACTGCCGGAGATGAAATATTGGAAGTTGAAAATGAAAAGAAGGTGCACATGATAATGCGATACAGAGAAGCGGAGAAGGCTACGCAGTTAGCACAGGAACATAAAGTTGCAGCGGACAAAAAGCATGAAGAATACCTGAAAGTAAGTTTCTTTTGTAATATAATATAATGTAACCAGAGGTAGATTATCGGCATGATTTACCCATACGTTATCTGTCACTTTATTGTTCGATAATTGTAGGACTATAAGGAACATCAGGCAAAGAGAAGAGCACTTGGCAGATACGTGAAACTGTCAACACCTGTTAAAAATGAAAGGCCCGATGATGGAACACCCATACTTAACGTTATCATAAAAGGTGATGTCGCTGGGTCCGTAGAAGCTATATTAGATGTTTTTAATACCTATCAGAGTGACGATAAGTGTCAATTAAGTGTCGTCCATTACGGCGTTGGACCTGTTACAGAGACGGATTTACAAATGGCAGACACGTTTGACGGTAAGACTATATGTTATGATATCGATTAGTATTATTTTCTATAAATCTTAATATCATGAAATATTTATAGCCATCATATATCCTTTCAATGTTGGTCCAATGAAAAACTTACAACAAGAAGCTAATAACAAGATATCGATTCGTCCATACAACGTAATATATAAGCTCTTTGACGATGTTAAAAAGGAGATAAACAGGAGACTTCCATTGGTTGATGCCGAAGAAGTGATAGGTATGAGAGAAGTGAATCACAATATAATAAAGAAATATGTTAAAAAATGATCGATTTCTGCTAAACCAGCAATGCTGGCATGTGAAATTTTTGTTTCTTATAATTTTTTGAATTATTGGTAACTGTAGAATTATTGTGGTGACATTTGTTTGCTGTCACAATGTGGAGAAAATGAAAAAAGATGGGCTATTTAGAAAAAATAGAAGTCATATTTAAACCTATCTGCTAAAATATATTAAAGAAATTTATTTCATATAAGATCATTTAACGATTTCACTTTCCATCTCTTCGTTTTTAAAAAATTGCATTTCTCTTAAACCGTTACAATCATGTTTGATTACAATTTTTGGGGATTTTTATTCATTTTAACTGCAAATAAATTCCATTTAATTCTACAAAAAATTAAGAAAAATGAAAATTATAAATGATTTTTATTTTTTAAAGTTTTTATTTATTTTCCTCACAGTTTGACAGCAAACGGACGTCATCTCGTGATTTTATAGCAAAAAAATTAAGAAATTATGCAAATTTTATATGCCGGTTTGAGGGCAAAAATCGGCTATTTTGCAACATACTCCTTTATCTTGACTTCATTTTCTTACAGGTGAAGCAAATGTATTGAAAGAGTTCGAGATCACAGATAAAAAAAAGAAAGTAAAGGTTGCGGGTTGCCGGTGTATTAAAGGCACTCTCAAGAAGGATGCAATATACCGTTTGATGCGTGAACAGGAAATCCTCTATACCGGTAAAATAATACTTAAATAAAAATTCTGAAATAGAAATGAAATGACTCATTTACTTATCTTCTTAGGGAAATTGGTGTCAATGAAACATATGAAAAATGAAACAGAAACGATCAAGACTGATGTGGAATGCGGTTTGAGATTCGAAGATTCCACAGTGACTTTCAAAGCTGGGGATGTTTTAATTTGTTACCAGACGTATCAGAAACCGCAGGAAATTGACTGGGATCCTGGATTCTAAATAATTTTAAAAATTGCAAGGTTAAATGTAGTAAAAACGATCATATTCTCTTTACTCGAATTTGTTATTTCGATCAGAAATAACGGAAATTTGCGAATTTGTCTAAGCATATTTTTTATAATATATATCAAGCAATGTACAGCAAAATATGTTGGTCGACACTTTTAAACATAGCTTGCGATAATCTTAATTTCACTTGAATAAAATCGATCTGTTTCGAATTTCCGCAAATTTTTATTTATCCTTGCTCCAATCCGACGATCGTGTAAAGACATATTTTCAGTTTTCAGGTTTAGGTCCACTAAATCATCCTGATAGAATAATAATAATAACAATAATAATAAGTATACATGTGTACGTTCTATTATTTTTCATTGTAAATTAAGTAAACTAAAAATTTCTAAAAGCGCAACTACCTACCATCGAAAAATTGCAAAAGGCTTACATGCATGCGTTCTGTTATTTTCTCTTGTAAATTAAGCAAACTAAAAATTTCTAAAATACATCTTCCTACCGCCGAAAACTCGTATGAGGCATACATGTGTGCGTTCTATTATTTTTTCTTACAGATTATGTAAATTCAAAATTTTTAAAAAAGCAACTTTTAACCGTCGAAAACTAAATTACTTACTTTTTAATAACTAATTAATTGCGCAAATTCCGATTTTTTTCATCCAGCCGTTTCGGAAGAAAAAAAAACAACGGCCGTGTTACTATTTGGTTTCTGTGCTATGTGTACAAAATATATGTGTATTCATAATTAGTGATAAAGTTATCTTGGATATTTCTTGATAAAAGACTAAAAGTATAAATCTTTTCAAATGCAATTTTATACTGGCATTTCTTTTTAACTTATTATATTATATTATATTACTTAAACTTAGAATTTTCTTATACGATCTGTGTGTGTTTTCAATTACAATATACTTATACAATATGTGTGTGTGTGTGTGTTTTCAATTTAAGTTTAGAATTCAAAATTAATAAAAACACGAATTCGAAGTGAACGCGATAAATGTACGTGTTTATATGTATGTACATACAATAAAATTTGTAAGAATGATTTGTATGTGTGCATATGTATGAGAGAGATGTGTATTTTTATAAAACGGAAATTAAATATTATTCTACCTATATCAAAAAGTTTTTTAAATTACCTTCCTATCTTCCTAATCTTCAGTCAATCACAGTGGCCTTTTGTTGAATGTTGAATCTTTGGCGTTTTAAGTACAATATTTCTACTTTCTGAAATAAGAAATGAATAGAATGTTAAGATACAGGTCAGATGAATGGCTGGTCATTACATTTTCAGGCACTTAACGATATTATCCGATACAATATATTTCAAAAATGAAATTTAAACTCTACTGTGATTAACTCAATCTTTTCTTATTAATTCGACAACTAAATTTCTCGTCGCTGCGCTTTTATCGAATATTTATTCGACGAAAGCAAATCAATCTGTAGAGGCTTTCCCCCTGTACCGACTTTAATCGGCGCTCCTCTTATTTTAATAAGGTTTCTCCACTTTTATCGAATATTATCACAATTAAATACATTTTGGATTAATTTGACTTCGCATTTTTTTATGATTAAAATATTGATTTTTATATTTTAAACTATTTAAAATCTGTAAATCAAAATTTTATTCAGTAAAAATAGATCAACATATAGAGGCCCTCCACCACCCCCGCCGATCATAATTGGCGGTTCTCTTTTTTTATATGTGCTTTTTAAATATTTTTTATTTTATCTTATTATAGTATTTACAAATAAAAGTGTGTAGCATTACAAGTATATAACATTACAATTTAATTACTACAATTCATAACGTACAATTTATAAGAAAATAGAAAGTATATATTATATACTAAAAAATTTCATTTTTTCTATTTAATCTCTACTTTCCAAATTGAAGCAAAAAGGACCATTTTTGCTTTAATGTTGAATAACTTGGTGAAAAAAAATTGTACAACGTTCAACAAAAAAGCAAATTAAAGGTAAAGATTCACTCTTTCGAAAGCTGTAAACTGCATTTGCATGCAGATCGGAAGAGCACACGTCTGAACTCCAGTCACTTAGGCATCT